CCGCGAGTTGCCGACCAGTTTCGACAAACTCTATGACGATCTGCCCTCCATCGACACAGTCCCTGAGGAAGTGGAACTTCACGTTGATGTGCTTGCTCCGGTCATGGAGAACCGGATTCTTCGCGAGGGCGATGGTGGGCTGGTTGTCCACCATCAGTGCTGGTGGGTGAGCTTCAGCACCGGTCAGCTCGTCCAGCAGCTGGCGCAGCCAAACAACTTGGCACGTCGCTGTGGCCGCAGCTACGTACTCTGCCTCGCACGTAGATAGCGCCACCACCTTCTGTTTCAGCGATAGCCATGAAATTGAAGCCGAATCGAGGAAGACGAGCACGCCAGAAGTGCTCCGCCGCCCGTTGATGTCCCCCGCCATGTCTGCATCGCTGAACACAGTGAGCTGCAGCCTGATTCCGCCTGTCTTGGGGAAGACGATCTCTTGATCCACCGTCTCCTTGACGTAGCGCAACAACTGCTTCACCCCATGCCAGTGATCCTCTCGAGGATCCTCCATGAAACGACTGACGTAGCCCACGACGAACGCAATGTCTGGCCTCGTGTGGACTAGGTAGCGCAGACCGCCAACGATGCTCCGGTAGAGTGTTGCATCCACCTTCGCCGCGGTGCTGGCCTTCGTCAGCTTCAGCCGCACCTCCATCGGAGTTACGCATGGCTTGCACTCAGCCATGCCGCTCCGCTCCAATAGCTTCGAAGCATACGCGCTCTGACCGAGCGTGAGTTCCTCCTTCCCCTATTTCACCTCGATGCCGAGGTAGTAGGAGAGTGCGCCGAGATCGCTCATTCGAAAACGAGCTGTCATCTCGCGCTTAAAGCTGTCGATGTCCTCCGTATGCGCATCGGTGACGATCAATTCGTCCACATACACGCCGACGACGAGCTCCTCCTTTCCCCGTCGCCGTGTGTAGAGCCCGTGCTCGGTTGTGCACCGCTGGAACCCAAGCTCGCCCAGCGTGGCTTCAAGCTTGGTGTTCCACACTCGTGGGGCCTGCCGCAGCCCGTAGAGCGCCTTGTGCAGTCGGAGCATCCTATGCTCTGCTCCCTTGACGACGAAACCCGGAGGTTGCCTGACGAAGACCGTCTCCGCCAGCTCCCTATTGAGGAAGGCCAATTTTACGTCCAGGTGATGGACGCGCCAGTCCTTTGCTGCTGTCAAGGCTAGTAGCAAACAGACAGACTCCATGCGTGCTACTAGCGCAAAGAATTCCTCGAAGTCGATGTCCTCGTGCTGGACAAAGCCTCGGGCGATGAGACGCGCCTTGTGCTTGACAATGGCGTCGAGCTCGTCTCGCTTGACTTTGTACACCCACGTCAGGCTAATCGGACGGCATCTTGGAGGTGGATCGACGAGCTCCTAAGTCTCATTTTCCTCGATTGCCTTCATCTCCTCTAGCATCGCCCGTCGCCAATTTCCATAGCGCTCGGCTAGCGCGAACGTGGGTGGTTCCTCTGCACTAACGAGCAGCAGCTCTTGATCATTGAGCAGCCGACCCGCCAGGCCTGAGGGCCCTGTGCCTCTGATGATGTCATCCAACCTGCGGAACTGCACCTCCTCACCGTCGTGGAAGGCATCCACAAACTCAATGATGTCACTTAGAGGTGAGGCGAACTCGATCGGCGTCGATGGAGTTCCCTGTTCTATCGGAGTGCTCGACACAACACCTAGAGGGTTAGGACCCCGTTTTCAGTGCTCGGCACTACTCCTGGACAGCTCGTCACCACTCCTGGAGTGGTCTACACCCCTCCCGGAGTGCTCGGCACCAGTCTTGTAGTGGTCGGCACCACTTCAAGACTGCTCGGCTCCACTATGGGAGTGCTCGGCACTTGTCCTGGAGTGGTCGCCACCACTACAAGACCTCCCGGCACCACTCTTGGAATGCTCGGCACCCCTCCCAGAGTGCTCGGCATCCCTCCTGGAGTGCTCGGCTCTGTCGCTGGAGTGCTCGGCACCCCTCCCGGAGTGCTCGGCACCTCTTCCCCCAGCGTCTCCACCACTGTGGATGACCAAGTGCTCGACGACGAAGGTGCTGGTGAAGCCGCCAGCTTCCCCTGTGCTCGGACTGTTCTAGTCCCAAGCCGCCTTCTCGTCGAACACGACATCGCATGAGACAAGTACCTTGTCTCCGCGTGGGTCGTAGAGCCGGTACATCTTGGTACCCTCCGAGTAGCCTAGAAACACCATCGGTGTGCTCCTGTCCTCTAGCTTGGTGAGGATCGGCTTCGTCTTCCTGACGTGGCCGATGCAGCCGAATGTCTAGAGGAAGGACACGCTCGGCTTGCGTCCATGCCAAGCCTCGAACGGCGTCTTGCCCTTTAGGGCCTTGGTGGGAGCGCGGTTGAGGATGAACACCGCCGTGGTCACCGCCTCACCCCAGAACCTCGCCGGCATGCCTTTGGCCTTCATCATAGATCGAGCCATGCCGACCATCGTCTGGTTCCGTCGCTCCACCATCCCATTCTACTGTGGCGAGTACAGCTCGGTGTGGTGTCGCACCACACCCCGATCCACGCAGTACGCAGCGAACTCCACCGAAGTGAATTCACTGTCGCGATCAGTCATCAGCACACGGAGCTTCTTGCCGCTCTCGGCCTCCGCGCACATCTTGAACTTCTTGATCGCCCCCGCCGCTTCGTCCTTGCTCGTCAGGAGTTGCAGCCACATATAGCGACTGCAATCATCCACGAGTAGGAGGAAGTACCGCCGACCACTGTTTGTGGCTGGTGTGATCTCCGTGCGATACTTGGCCGCCTTTGGAAACGGCAGCCTCCTCTGTTTCCTGGCCAGGCAGCTGTCACACAGCTCATCTCCGTGCTTGATGTGGGGTAGCCCTCAGACCATCTTCTCCAGCTGACCAAGCGCGTCGAAGCTGAGATGTCCGAACCGGACATGCCATAGCCATGGTTCCTCGGTGTGCCTTGCCGCTAGGCACACCAGCTGCTCTACCTTAAGGTCGAGCAAGTACAACCGATTCTGGGACCTCTTCACCTTGGCAAGAAGTCGCTGCTCTCGGTCCCTGATCCTAAGGACTCCGTCCTTGATCAGTACCTCACTACCGCGCTCATCTAGCTGACCAATGCTGATGATGCTTGAACGTCAGCTGCGGGATGTAATATACAACCGTTAGCGTGCGGTGCTCCCTGTTCTGGCACCTGAAGATGATGGTGCCACGCCCTCGGATAGCCACCCTTGAGCCGTCACCAAACTTCACCGTACCGGTAACATCGTTGTCGAGCTCAGAGAAAGATGCCTTGGAGCCCATCATATGGTTGCTGGTACTAGAGTCCAGATACCACCGCTGCTCCTGCTCACCGCCCACATGTCCGAGGTGGACTTGGGTGCACGGTTCATCGAGGTTGACAGCCTTCAGGGCCTTCCCATGTCCTTCCACCGTCGTCACCTCTCCCTTCTCCTCGGCCTCGATGTCGTGCAGTGCACAGAACGTCGCCATCAGGATAGTGGCCTCATCATCATCATCAGCTTGCACTAGATGAGCCTCAGCCTTCTTCTCCTGCTTGCGATTTGGACACTCCTATGCCCAATGGCCCGTCTTCCTGCAGCGCCAACAGGCGTTGGGGTCGACCTGCTTCTTTTTCTCTGAAGAAGCCTTGCTGCGGCACTTGCCATCACCACCGCGGCTGGAGGAGGCTACCCCAGAGTTCCTCCGAGCAGCCCACTCCTCCTCTATCAGCAACAGTTTGCCGTTGTCCTTCGTTGCTGTCGCCTGCTCCAGTCGCTCGTCCACCGACCGTAGATGGCCTATCACATCCTCAATGGTGAGGGTGGACAAGTCCAGCATCGTCTCTGCGGAGAGAGCGATCTGGATGTACTTTGCCAGCACGGAGTGGAGGTACTTGGAGACCGCCTCCTCTTCGTCAATGGTGATGTTATGGCTCTTTAGCTTGCTGATGAGTGTCTGCAGGCGGAGGGAGAAATCATCCACCGTTTCACCATCCGTGACCTTGAGGTTGGCGTACTCCTACTTCAGAAGCTGGGACGTCGCCTTCTTTTTGCGCGGTCGGAACCGACGTGCATTGCTGCAATAGCCTCACATGCCTCCTTAGCAGAGCTCTTCGCCCCCAATGGCTCCCTGTACTATGACGGTATAGCAGCGAGGATAACCTCCAATGCTGATATGTCATCTTCCTCATTGTCGGTGCCCTTGTCAACAGCATTCTAGAGCCGTCGGGCTCTGAGCTTGACCTTCATGGTCACCGACCACTCTCCATAGTTGGTGCGAGTTAGCGTCGGCCAACTGGTGTCGCTGACCTCCTGCACCATGCGAACAACGACCTCCTGTCGTGGCTGGGCAGACACAGCAGTGCCACTGCTGTCGCCTATCTCCGAACCGTTCGTCATCGCCAGCGGTTAGTCCGGCGACGGCGCTGCTTGGGTTTGACACCACTTGTTAGCCTCCAAGATCACCGGCTCAGGTGAGTCGACCACTCACCAGTCTTGCCGACCACGACAGACGCTGTCCGACCACACACTATGGCTAGAGGTAGAAGAAGAGAGGTAGAATAGAGCATACACACACAGCAAGAGACACCAGCGTTGGCCGGAGCCCTATATAGAAGATGACAAAGCTGAACTCTCTCTTTACTAAGTTGCAATGGCAGACTATATATACAACTCTATCCATCTAGTCCTAGTACAGCTGCCATGTTGCTACAGTTAGATGTGACAGCAGGGCTGACTTTGGTGCCTGCCCCTACAGTGGCTACAGGGCGGCAGGTGAGCCGTTTGGTGCCTGCCCCTGCAGCTGCTACAGTGCCACACCAGGGAGCCCTTTTCGGCGCCGTCTTTCCCTGCTGCGCATTCATACAAGGGATGTAGAGAAGATTATCTAACAGTCACCCTACTCACCACCCCTGCCAACCGCGTGTTCGTCGCCAGCCGCCTGCCCTCGTCGGTGCGCCTCGTCGAGCTGACGTTCCCATCGCTGCCACCGCTGCCAGCCGGTGTCAAGTCCACCGACGCCCACCCATCCATGTCCTTGTTCCCGTCGTTCCTGCGTGCGACGGCGCGCCTACGGGAGCCCTTCACCAATTTCCTCACATCGCTCCCGTCCCCACCGCTGGCGCTCGTCTCCGACTTCTTCCTCGGCTTCACGCACCACGTGGCCACGGACGCCGGCGTTCGCCACGTTGTGTTCCACGGGATGTCCTGCTTCTCCATGGCCATCTGCAAGGCACTCATCACTCGCCCATTGGCGGCGGCCAGTAGCGTCGACCTCAGCGCTCCGTTCCACGTGCACGGCATGCCGGAGCACGTGGCGATCACGGCAGATGAGATCCCCGACGCAGTGGAGAAGCTTGCAGACTTGGAGGACCCCGTGACCCGCTTCTTCATCGATGAAATCGGCTACTCGGACGTGCTCAGCTGGGGCATCCTGGTCAACATTGTCACGGCGCTGGACGAGGACTATGTTGCGCCACTCGAGTCATTCTGGCTCGCCGGCCCGCTATTCCTCACGGCCAGCGACATGTCGGAGCTCGAGGAAGAGGAAGAAGACCCCAAGGGCTGCCTTTCCTAGCTCGACGAGAGGGCGGGACGACAGCCAGGATCGGTGGTGTATGTTTCGTTCGGTGCGCAGACCCACATCTCCGACGGGCAGCTCGACGAGATAGCTGTCGGGCTAGTGCAGTCCGGCCACCCTTTCCTCTAGGTGGTGAGGTCCGACACGTGGTCACCACCGGTTGACATGAGCGGCTCCCATGGCATGATCGTCCGTGGATAGGTCCCGTAGAGAAGCATTCTGGGCCACAAGGCAGTGAGCGGCTTCGTGAGCCACTGCGGGTGGAACTCGGTCATGGAGAGCCTCGCAGCCGGGAAGCCCATCCTGGCGTGGCCGATGATAGCCGAGCAGCACTTGAACGCAAGGCATGTGGCGGACATCGTCGGCACTGGCATCAAGGTTCACACAAAGCCCCGTGGCACGGCGGCAGTCGACGTCGTCATCGGGAGGGTGGAGGTTGAGGAGAAGGTCCGGAGGCTAATGGATGCGGACAGCGAGGTCAGGAAGAAGATTAGGGCGAGGGCCACATGGGCGCAGCAAGCGGCGAAGTCGGCGGTGAGCGAAGGAGGTGCTTCACGCGTCGCGTTGTAGAAGCTAGTGGACGAGCTTCAACGGACCTATAGCTATGGCATCGTGGAGTAAGCAAAGATGCAGTTGTTGCTTCTGATCAATGAATAAGACTGTCTCCAACAACACCACCCAAACACAAAATAGGTGATTCACAGTGTTTTGGGTACCAAGAAACGAGCTCCAACAGAACACCCAATCAAAGGACGCATTTTGCGTACCAGCCAAATCGAAAGGCAAATAAGCGTCTCGCGAGAGAGAGGACGCAAATGTCTGGCGCCGTAGTGGTGGGCCTACGGCGAGGCGCGGCTCACGACGGGGCGTGGCCGGCTCGGTGAGGCGAGCCCGCGGCGAGGAGCCGCCGGTGCTTCCAGGCGGGTCTGCGGCGGACGCTGCCGGCGCGGCCAGGCAGGGCTGCTGCGGGGAGCCGCTGGCACGGCGAGGAGCAGCCGGATGCGTGGCGGCAGCCTACACGGCCTTGTTCCCCGCAAGCAGGTCGGAGGAGACAGCGAGCGCGGTGCGCAGGCGCGGGTGGTGCGCCCCGCCGCGGCGCAGGGTCCTAGCGAAGGAGGAGGACGAGGCACCGGCCGTCGTGTCGCGCGGTAGCGACGTCCGGACCTTGGCAGGAGTGAAACACGGGTGGCGCTGGGTGGGGGGCACTCGCGCCCGCGGCCACCGCCGGACGTGAGGAGCAGGGAGCGCCGCGCCGGTGGTGTGAGGCGCTAGGAACTTGGAGATGGGTGGGCGGCGGAGAGACCGAGGAAGAAGATGGCTGATTTGCGTTGCCTGTTGGAGAATCTAAATTTTAGGTACGGACCCTTTCTACTGTGCATGACCTAAATCAGAGAATGGGTGTTGTGTTTAGGTCCTCATTGTTGGAGACAGTCTAAGAGGAGTGCAAATAGGTAAGATACATACATGCAAGTCGAAGTACTACACTAGTACTGTATGAAGGTACCTATTGTACACTTGTGTCCTCGTATACACAAACCATTTTCGTCCGATTCAGCAGCACTACTTCAGCAACACTTTTCAGCGAACGAACAATGTTTTCCTCTCACAACATTTCAGCATAAATAGCTGCATAAGCCAAATTTCAGTGAAACAAACAGTGTTTTCTTCTTGAATGGTGTGATCGCGCAGCTTTATGTATCCAGATGAGTAATGCTGAGATTTGAAACGGTGAGGTTTGAAGTTTCATAAGTTTGAAAATAGCTCGCCGTTGGATGTACTGCATTTTTAAGGTGTCGGTTCTACACTTGTACTTGCATACGTTGAATTGATCGATCCGTGCTTTGCGGTGCTTGTGTTTCTTGTCCAAAGTTAATTCTATTAAATTTGAAGTACTTCATTAAGATTCAATCAAAAACATATTTCTGTAGCTCAAAAAAATTGAAGCGATGCACGTTCACAAAGCATAGATGTACTTTTGTCGCAAAAGTTAGAATTCAATCTCGTTTTATAAAGAAATGTATTTATTCTCATACTTTTTGAAAAAAATTGAGGAAATCCCAACTATTGAAACAAAAGACACCTATGGGATATGGATACATCTCATATTTGTAAGCAATCAAAATGAAATTTTTTATGAGTTCTCATGACTTGCACTACATATTCCCGTTCGGCGATGCTGCCCGCAGGGCACGAACCCGCTCGGCGATGCTGCGCGGATCGCCGCCATCTCCGCCGAGGCCGCCGACTTGCGGCCGTTCCATCAGGACTGATAGCAAACTGCATGGTATAAAGTTTAAGCATTACAGAACATACAATGATCAAACAATAACATCATCCGAAATAGACAGAGCAAATTGTAAAGTATCAGATCACAGAATCACAAACACCTCTGACGAATCTTCTTGAGTTCCCTAGGAGAGGGGGGCACCTTCGGTAGGAGGCCCCGGCGGCCGCTGCAGCTGCGATAACGAGGAGATTTGATGAAGGGGGCGAAGCCTGACCTAGGTCGATGCCGCCGCCGTGCCGAGGGCCGCTCCCCCAGGACGAAGACACTACCGGAGACTGTGTAGTTACCGAGTGCCCCGACAATTACCGAGTGTCAAAAGTCGGGGCACTCGGAAAACAGTATTTACCGAGTGCCAACACTCGGAAAACATAAACACCCGGTAGTATACCGCTTTACCGAGTCAGCACACTCGGTAAATTAAGACACTCGGTAAAAATACAATTTTACCGAAGGGGCACACTCGGTAAAAACAGACACTCGGTATTGAGGTGCCACGTCACTAGGATAGCAACCGTGGGCCAAACGGCGTCACGGTATGACATGTTTACCGAGTGTTATCAGCACAACACTCGGTAAACACTACCTTTTACCGAGTGTACTGGCGCAACACTCGGTAAAATTCAACCAAATTTCTTGTTTTTCCTTCATTCTTTTTCCTCTATCCACATATGATATTTAGTACTCCATTCCAAAATATGGTGTTTATTTCGATTTATTTACTATATTTCACAAACTTTTCATTCTTTATGAAAATTAGGTACATATCGTGTAAATTTAATTGTAATAATTAAAATCGAACTCGATAAATCACGAGATTGGAAGAATTAACATTGAAGCATACATCTACGTTATAGAAAAATTTTCATAACGTTTCGGAAGTATTTTTACATTCGTCGCTGCCGAACCGGTACATCTCCCAAAGAGATGTTAAACATTCACATTGACGAGTAGGATTTCTATTAAGAGTGAAATTCAACATTATGATTTAAACTTGGAATTTTTTAGATAGTAAATAGATGACATGAAATAGTTCATGTGAAAGTTTGGTGAAATTTAGGATTAAATTGGCATTTTTTCTTTTTTGTTTTGCATGAAATAATAGATACTTTTACCGAGTGTGACCTCAAACACTCGGTAAAGGTTAGCCACGGCCCACCTGTCTGCCACAGTGGGCTATGTTTACCGAGTGCCGTAGATCTAGGCACTCGGTAAACATGTACCAGGCCCACATGTCACTGGGCTGCGGTGCTTGAGTTTACCGAGTGCCGTACATCTAGGCACTTTCAAATGTGAAGCATTCAACACTAAGCCGTGCCTCCCTCAAATCGTGCACAGACACACACACACACCGCCGCGGCCGCCTCCTCCCCTCCACCACCGCCGCCACCGGAGAGACGGAGAGAGAGACAGCTGGCACCGGGCAAGACCGGACGACGATCCCTCCATGGACGCCGCCCGTGCTCCCTCCTTCGCTCCCGTTCCCATGAGGTGGGGTGGGGTGGGCCCCAGCAGCAGCGGCCGCCTCCCTCCCTCCACGTCGTCGCCGCGCCTCCCGCTGTCGCTTGGCGCCTCCCCACCGCCGCTGCCTCCTCCCTCCACCACCGCCGCCACCGGGCGCGTCCCCACAACCGCCGCCACCGGGGGAGGCGGTCACCCCCGCCGCCAGCTGGGATCTGCCGCCGCCGCGGCCGCCTCCTCCCCTCCACCACCGCCGCCACCAGGCGGTCCTCCACCGCCGCCGCCACCGGTAAATGCCCTAAGCCACCATATTTTCCTTTTTTCGAGTTATGACTATATGCATTTGTGCAATCTCTTTCTAGTGATGTTTACACAATAGATCTGTACACAAAGACTAATCGAATCGCACATGATTTCACTTGTGAACTACGAAATATAAATTTTTGATTTGGCATACAAATATTTGTGATATAGTCAATATGAATGTGCAAGAAATTTCTAGTTTGACCAAATAAGCAGTGGTAACAAAACAACCAGTTGCTGTCACCTCGTCACAGACAGAAGGGGAGCCATATTTGGTACTTCAGATTTCACATGCAAAGTGCAATTGGATGCAATTTTCCAGTACCAAGAGTTCTATACTTCTATACATGACAAACAAATTTAACAATCCTTGCCAGATCTTGCAATGCCATTCAGTGCATGAACACTTATGGCAAGACAGCCAGCTATGGTCAGTTGTTACTGTATAATTTGCTTAAAATTAAAATCTTTTTTTTGGGGTACCAAGTGAAACACAATCAATATCAAGGTTTAGGATCCCACTATCAACTGAACAATTAACACCAGTTTCTGGAAATCATGGGCTTACACATGGTATGGAAAATAATGGATGGTTCTGTTGCATTCGTTGTCCATTCATTTTCTACTCGTTCTTTATTTGCATTCTAACTATGTGATAAATAATTGTAGGCCCAGATTGAAGCCCTGCAGGAGTCACAGCAGGCCTCACAGAGCCAGCTTCAGGCCCTCGAGCTGTCGCACCAGGCCGAGTTGGCACAGGAGAGGGCGCGAGTGCAGACCCAGCTTGAGGCCTTCCAGCAGGCGCACAAGGACTGGTACGAGTACATGACCCGTTTTTCTCAGAGCATGGGCCAGCCTCCACCGCCTCCGCCGCCGCCGATGATACCGTTGGTGCCTCCACCTCCGCGCGACGGCACTCCTGTGAGTCACTTAGATGCACTCTTCACTT